GAGCGCCGGTGCCTACTCTAGAGGGCACGGGGGCACCAGGTCCGGGGACGTCTAGTGGCTCTTCTTCATCCTCTGCATCAACATCAGCATCAGAGGAAGAAACACCGGCGCCTGCGCCGGAGGGCACGGATGGACCAGGTGCAGGGACGGCTAGTGACTCTTCTTCATCCTCTGCATCAACATCAGCATCAGAGGAAGAAACACCGGCGCCTACGCCAGAGGGAACGGGAGCACCAGGTGCAGGGACGGCTAGTGACTCTTCTTCGTCCTCTGCATCAACATCAGCATCAGAGGAAGAAACACCGGCGCCTGCGCCGGAGGGCACGGATGGACCAGGTGCAGGGACGGCTAGTGACTCTTCTTCATCCTCTGCATCAACATCAGCATCAGAGGAAGAAACACCGGCGCCTACGCCAGAGGGCGCGGGGGGGGCAGGTGCAGGGACGGCTAGTGACTCTTCTTCATCCTCTTCAATAGCGTTGGAGGAAGGAGCGCCGGTGCCTACTCTAGAGGGCACGGGGGCACCAGGTCCGGGGACGTCTAGTGGCTCTTCTTCATCCTTTGTAACAGCGTCACCGGCACCTACGCCAGCGGCACACATCGCACCATGGTCTGAATCCACGTCGGTCGCCACGCCGCCTCTTGCACCATTTTCAAGTTACTCTGCTCAACCAGGTGACGTGGGCTTTGCACCGGTGGTCCGCCGGATGTGAAAGTGTCTGGCGGGTGCTGCTAGCCGTTTTTCTCCGTCCAGCTTGTTGTGTGCAGCTCTATCCCTTGGCTATTCCTCGTCCCAAACATATAGCATCACGTTGGACCACAGACAGACGTGACTTGCTCGCGTGCCGCATCTCCGCCTTTTTCCTGTTTTCCGCCGTCCGGGCACTGACGGTGGAGACCCGCGTAACAACGTTTGTGCCTGAGCGTGCTCCCTTGCTGTTGTTGGTGTCGTCGTCATTTTATCTTGACTCAGAAACCCTGATCTGCCCGTTCATGGGTCCACCGGTCGCCTAGTGGTTATGCTGCTTTGCGACGGCTTGTGTGGTTAAAGACACACGAGAACTCGTACGCTTAACAAGAACGCTTGAGACCAACAGGGCTCAGTCTGAAATGCAAGCAGCTAACCTGACAACGTATCACCTAGAGTGTCGACAGCTTTTTCGAAATTGACGGGGGTTCCCTCGCCACTCGCCACCCGCACCGGTCCGAGTGAGTTTGGAAACAACGCGTGGAGGTGCGGCACAACTCTGTGAAGCACCAGGCTAATCACAACGTGTTTATTTTTTATTTTGCCCAACGACGAGCCTGAAGGGGGGCCGTTTTGGTATACTTGGGGTTATGTCGTAACGTCTCCCTTTGCGCTTGGTGATCCGGCCACAGGAGTGGGCGAAACGCTGTCTCCGTCGACGGATTCACACCCTGAGGTGCCGGGCGAATCACCACTTGCGGAGGGCCCTTCTTCTGTCGTGACTCCTGAGCCCTCGGTCGGTGGTTTTGCTCCATCGCCACCGGCAGCGACAGCGGTGAGAGCAAGATACCAGATTTGATCATGCAAGCTTTTGTGTATGTTCTGTCGCCGTGCGCATTCTTCGTGTTGTTGGCGTGGTGAAGGTTAGTTTGTTCCGTGCGCTGGTTCTGGCACCCGGGTGCCGCAGCTCCCATACTGCCCGCACTGCTGCACGTCCATCCACGCAAGTTCGTGCTTTATTTGGTTTGATACAAATAATGTCGGCCGCTGAATCTCGTCGACTTTCGAAGTACACGTCTTTCTGGTGATGTTTCTGCATTCGTTCCCTACAAGCCGGTCTCGTGTGTGTTTGCCTTCCTTGCCATTTTTTCCTGGAGCCCCACCCGACCTCCACGTCTGTTTGGGTAGGCCCTGCTAGTGCCAACGTTCTGCGCCTTTACCGACGCTGTCGACAACAGCACGTCGTCCGGCCTCGCAATGTTGTTGTTGTCGGGTCATACTTGCACGAATATTCTGGTTTCGTTTCGTCTCTAGCGAGGCGCACTTTGTCATGTATGCGATTTAGACCTGTCTACATTCACACGCTTCGTCGGGTGCCGAGGCCGTCCGATGAAGTGCGGTATCCAATTCGTACCGTTTGTGTGCGGTAGGCCGCAAAACTGTTAAAGCTTTCTTTAGATCTGTTCCTAGTTTCAGACAAATGGCGGCCAACAACTTTCGCTTCTTCTCACAGCATCCATTACCACGCGGGCATGAGCAAGAAGGTCCTCTCAAGACGCTCGACCCATTTTTTCCGTTTCGCCTGAACCATGAAGCAGAGCCCAGCTACCGGGCCCACCGAGGAGTCCTTTCCCGAACCGTCACCTTCGCCAACACCCACAAATCAGCCGCTGTCGCTCGAACCCACAAGCGTAGAGCCGAGCTCGTCCCCTACCCGCGCCCCGGCCACTACCCCTGGCCCGTTCCTGCCGACGGCAAAACCCACCGCGCGTGCGGTAGCCCCGAGTAGTCACCCGACGACAGCGGTCCCTCTTGCGTGCCCCGAACCTTCGAAGACTACACCGGCACCGACGCCGTTGCCGGAGGTAGTTTCTACCCCGCCAAATGTTGACCGTACCCTCGGACCGACTGCAATGGAGGCCACCGCTGCGCCCACAGCTGGAGGAGAGGGTAGCGCCCAACCTGTCGTTTATCGGAACGTCGGGCCCACCCTGACTCCAGCACCGGCGTCTGAAGCACCGACGTGCGCCCCAACCCCTGGGCCCAACGCAGAAAGCGCTGTGGAGCTTACGCTTAGTCCAACCCCCCCATTCGCGCCAACCCCGCCACCGACAACTATGTCCCCGGCTGGGACAGGAGCACCCGCGGTGAATGTAATGGTCGATAACTTAACGGGAGTTGGGTAGTTTCATCGTGTCAGGCGGTGAAAATGGCAAGATTGTCTTTTCGGGCGACCCGGCGCGTGCAGCAGGGGATTGTTCCCTTCACGGACCCCCGTCTTTCTGTCCCGGTGTTCACTTTTAGCGCGTACTTACATTACTATCCCCTTGAAAGGTCCCTCCTCGCGACATACCAAAATCAAGTCAATATCCGATCGTTTATTGCGCGTTTCGCTTACGTTTTTAACAGATGCACAGCCGATACTTGTTTCTCTCCTCTAACCCTCCGTGCCATGACTGCGAAGGGATTGTGCCAGCAGACTTGAGCATGTACTGTCCTTGTGGGGATCCGCTGTGTACGAAGTGCAGTAATAGTGGGCCCTTGATTCTCATTTCGCGGTTTCGTTCCCCTGTATCATTCGCGCAATCTGCCGCCGTTATCTGCTGCTGGCCTTGCAGGAAACGACGCTAAGCCCAGCGACGGCGCCAGCAACCGCTGAGGTACGTCGGCCTTTCCTCGCGTTGATTCGGGACTGGGGGATTTCGATGCCGCCGACAGAATTGTCGTGTGCTTATGAAAGTGCGCGCCAGACGACTTAACCAACCGGTTTGTGACGAGAACAAGGATGGGGGATCGGGCTGTTCGCTTTTTGGGGATAAAAGTCACCCACGGCCTCCGTTGACTCATGATGTTTCGCTTCTGGGTGTTGCAGGTCCCGACTCTTGCGCCGGCGATGGTACAACCGCCCGTGGAGGAGTATCAACCAATCGCTACCCCACGTAAGCCCAACCTTGTTTCTGTTTGATTCGAGAGAAGGGGTAGGGTGCCTGCAGTTGCGAAGCGGTCGTCAACTCGCGTGGAGGATGTTTCGCATGCCTCGCCATCAGAAGTCTTGTGGTGTGTAGGAATTATGTGTTTGATGCCTCTTTTCGCGTTCTATCATAGTCTGGGCGCCATGCGCTGGTGCTCGTCATTCCGCCGCAAGCCTTCCGCGGGGACCTCAATGCCATCATGATCGGCTGTTTCTTCGGCACGCAAGTTCGCTTTGTCTCAACAGTAACAAGTAGCTTCTTCTACCTTGCGAATTTTCGTACGTCCATCCTTCGCGCCAGCAAAGGCGTTTGCCATCTGCAGGCTGAGATACCAGGTAGTGACTCAAGAATATAGCTCACATGGCAAAATTGTTTTGCCGCATTTGCCACCCCGCCACGCCACGCGGCTACTTACCCGCCCAAGGGCAGTGCCTTCACCCACAGCAGGTGAACCCTCGAACCCAACCATGGATCCAATCGGCATGGCAGCTTCATCACCCCCGGCCCCCGTCGCCGTGGCGCCGTCCCTAGCCCCGGTAGTCGGCCCCCCCCCCGATCCTGCAGCCCCCGCTGCTACCACCTTCCCTCCTGCCGCAGTAGTCCCGGGGACACCCTCCCCTCTGCCAGCGTCAGCACCGGCCGCGGCAATTCCATCGTTGGAGCCACCAATCACGGTCCCCAGCCAACCAATCACCGAACCGCTCACTCCCGAGCAATCTCCGACCGTAGCCACCGCCTCACCTCTTTTCATGGGGCGGCCGGCAGAACTACATCCGACCGATGTCGCCGGTCCCACGTCGTCGCCGGTGGTTCCTGCTCCGTCAGGAGATGGCGTTCCGACCCAACCGGTTGTTTTCTCTCCCGTGCAAGACCCGATCACTGGTAAGACTCGGGCAAGAACACCCGTCTTCGTTTCTTGTGTGTCGGTATCTTTCAACGTGCTGATGTGCGGGTACAAAGCTTCGTCGGGCGACCTGTACACTCTTCTCACCAGCTGTGGGAACACGATTGTTTGCATCGTATACGAAGGACGGTGTTGCGTGGTTCGTTTAGGTAAAGGAATTTTGATTTAAGACCGAAAACAGGCACGCAGGTACGGGAATCTTTCCTCGTTGGTCGCGCTCACACCTTCCTGGAAATTCGAACTGTTAACCACGCCCAAGTGGTCAGGTCACCCCAGGATGTATTCGCGCATGGCGCACGTTTGAACAGAGTGGCCTCCTCATGTCTGTCGTAGCGGCGAACCACTCATCTTGCGCGCCCTAACCGCCTCCCCAGCTTGTTTTGATAGTGGCAGTGACAACACCGGCGAGCGAGCCCAAGCGATCGCACAGAGTATCGTTCTTCGATGACGAACCACGCTGATTTGTTGGCGAGTCGAGTTCATTGGATGCCACGTCTCTCGGCACGGCCCGACACGCCCGCTCTGTTGCCCGCTGTACCTTCTTGTCCTGTCCTGCGTTTTGTTTGACTTGCCGCACCCGCGACCCCGCTACCTGGCGTGATTTCCCCCATGCAGTCCCCCGACCAACAGCTGGCGGACTCCCGAATCCCACAGAGAGTCCGATGTGTGCCTGGGCCTCATCTGCCCCACTTGCCCTTGCCGTGCAGCCGTCACCAGCCCCGGTAGCAAGCACCCCACTCAGCTCTGTAGCCCCCACTGCCACTACCCCCCGCGCTGCTGGTGCAGACCTGGTAACAGGAGCGCCCTCGCCTTTACCAGCGTCAGTGCCGCCTACAGCAGTCTCCCCCGCCTATATTGCAGTTCCAGGAGCACCCTCGCCCCCTCCAGCGTCAGCGCCGCCGACAGTCGTTGGCACCTCCCTCAGCTCTGTAGCCCCCATTGCTACCACCTCCCCCGCTGCTGTTGCAGACCCAAGAGCAGGAGCACCCTCGCCTTTTCCAGCGTCAGTGCCGCCTACATCAGTCTCCCTCGCCGACATTGCAGTCCCAGGAGCACCCTCGCCCCCTCCAGCGTCAGCGCCGCCGACAGTCGTTGGCACCCCACTCAGCTCTGTAGCCCCCGTTGCTACCACCTCCCCCGCTGCAGTTGCAGACCCAAGAGCAGGAGCACCCTCGCCTTTTCCAGCGTCAGTGCCGCCTACAGCAGTCTCCCCCGCCTACATTGCAGTCCCAGGAGCACCCTCGCCCCCTCCAGCGTCAACGCCGCCGACAGTCGTTGGCACCTCCCTCAGCTCTGTAGCCCCCATTGCTACCACCTCCCCCGCTGCTGTTGCAGACCCAAGAGCAGGAGCACCCTCGCCTTTTCCAGCGTCAGTGCCGCCTACAGCAGTTTCCCTCGCCGACATTGCAGTCCCAGGAGCACCCTCGCCCCCTCCAGCGTCAGCGCCGCCGACAGTCGTTGGCACCTCCCTCAGCTCTGTAGCCCCCATTGCTACCACCTCCCCCGCTGCTGTTGCAGACCCAAGAGCAGGAGCACCCTCGCCTTTTCCAGCGTCAGTGCCGCCTACAGCCCCCCCCGCTGCTACTGCAGTCCCACGAGCACCCTCGCCCCTACCAGCGTCAGCGCCGCCTACAGTCGATGGCGGTCCGTCCACGACACCGCTGGACCACCCAACCCTCCAACCGGTCACTCACGACCAATCTCCCACCGTACCCACCGCCCCGCCCCTGTGCTCGGGACAGCCTTCGGAACCTTCGATCGGTGTCGTCGCCCGTACTTCTTTGCCGACCGAGGCTCCTGCTCCGCCAGGACAGGCCTCGCCGGCCCAACCGGTTGTGTCCCCTCCCACACGGGGTCATGTCGCTGGTAAGATGGCTTCCCCGTGCGCAAACCCTGATGGCGTTTTGCTCGAGGGTAGTATAGTCCACACTACTCGTGCTATGTCAGCCAGATCACCGATGCCGGGTGGCCTGCTTACAACGCCGCGTTTGTTGTTGCAACCAAGAGTGTCCATTCGCCTCTAGTATTTCCTTCTCCGGCGTTCACGCCCTCATCCGTCGGTGGCGACCAAGCACAGGCGAGAAGCCGTGTCGGTTCCTGTGGAAGTGGTAGCCCCTGCCCCGCCAAGTGCACCTGCGCCCGACAGCTTATCGGCGGGGAGATTGACCTCTGCTGAGGACCTTCGACTGAAAATATTGTCTTGCGTTGGTGAAACTTGCTGATTGTTGAGGCTTACTTGCAGCAATGAGCGCTTCGAGTTGCGCACCCCGCCATGTGTGTGTGACACGACTGCTCAAGTATCCTTCCAGAGTAAGTGAACTCGATAACATGACACTATTCGAAAGAGGTCCACAAAGTGGCCATGTTTATCGTTCAGCACCTAACCTAGTCCCTCTGCCGCCCCTTCTGATTACCAAACCCAGGGACGAAACCCCCGAAACCGCCTGACGGTGCATCAACTCCTCCATCAACGGTCTCTCCGACAGGGCCAGCTGTTTCACCAACGGAGGCAGCGCCAGTAAGAGAGGTGACGAGTGGTGTCATGCACACGTTTCGTGTTGCGATGTGGTGCTGTGTATTTGGACCTACAATGTACCCTTAAGTTTTTAATGGATAGACGTACACAAATAATGTTGGCGAAACAAATCAGTTTGACGCTGTCGGGAAACGAAAAAACTCCCAGTATGCGTATTGTGTGCTGTAATACTCTGGTCGCTTTTACCGTGATTTATTTAGGTCATGGTTGATTCGCGTAATGACCCACCCTTCGTGCCAGGTTGACAACATCACCAACCGATCGCGAATCAATGCTTTGGGGTAATCTTGGGCACATTATGTATTGTGTTTGAGAATTGCTCTACCGAGAAGAAGTCGCTTCATGGGAGACGTATAAGCCGCTCGCTTTGCTACGAAGGTCAGACCGAGAAGCTAGAAAGATGAACTTGTCCACTTTTTTTTGCGGATGCTCCTTGTCACAAACCTTTTATCCATGGTGCCATTTCTTCGTGTGGTACTTCAGACCCCTACTCTTGAGCCGGTCGCGGGACCTGTCGAGGGGGAGAAACCAAGCGCTACACCATGTAAGCTCACCTGTATATCCGTTTGATTCGAGGAGGGCTGTCTGATTGAACGGCGGTATCGTAGTACATGTCTAGTATGATTGGATGGTTTTCAACTCCACTCAGCGGAGGAACGCCACCTCTCGCACCTATCTCGGGTTTGACTAATGCTTCGCACCTATCGCTATTATAGCTCAAGCCACCAGTGTGTGGGAAGCATTGTTCCACGCACTGCCCCTGATATTGCGTTCTTTCGTATGCCCGCCGACACACATGTGTAACATACCACCACAACTTTGCACGGGTTAGGTGATGTTCTCGCCTGCATGTCCTGCACTCCGTTCCACGGAAGTTGTATCGTGTTGCCTGCTGCTGTTGTACGCCATCGAGAGATGTTGGCTGGCTGGTCACGATACGCCTGTTTGCATAGAAGTGAGATAGATATCTCCATGCTTTCACGCACGCGAAGCGGTAGTGTACGAGGTAAGCGGGAGGGATGCGTGGTCTTGCTCCCCTCTACCGCGTCTTCTTTGGTTTAACGCACCATCGGCAACCTCGTCGGTTGCCTCACATGCTACAGCGCCAACATTGGCACCACCCGTAGCTTTGGCGCCACTGGCGACTCCGACAGCCTATGCCACTGCGGCCCCGCCGGGAGGTGCACCGGTGGCCGAAGCGCCTGTGGCGGCGCCCTTCGATCCACCTCAACCTGTGGCATCGCCCGTCGTCATGCCCGTCGAGCAACCCGAAGCAGGTGACCGAGACTTGTCGTTCTCTTGATCATCACTGGGTTTGATGACTACCGTAGCGCCTTGCCCGTAGGGTGCTCTCGGAGGAATGCCGACGGCACATCCCACGTACAGGCAATGTATTTTGCAAGGTAATATCAGTACCGGCTTGGGTCAGAGATAGCTAAATGAGGAAACACCCAGCTGACTTGCACCCGCACAGCTCGTAAAGCATTTCCCAGATATTGCTGCATGCCACGGCCAGGTCCTCATGCATTCCTCCCCTTTCCCTTGGTTCTCGACTACAGAAGTGGCACCAGCACCGGTCGCCGCGCGCGTTGAGCAGCCGGTGGAGGTGGTCCCACCTGTGGCATCCGCCACCGACATGCCCGTGGAGCAGCCCGCAGCAGGTAACTCTGGCCATCACTGGGCTTTGACGAATAATTTACGTTTGCGCGTGGCCCGTACAGCAGGATGCACTCGAACGAAAGCCCACAGCACATACCACAGGCAATGTAAATATCAAGGTAAATAACAGCATCGGTTGGGTTGAGAGCTATTAGGTAGCGGAAGCACCCAGCTTGCTTGCACCCGCACAGCTCGTAAAACATTTCCCAGATACTGTTCTATGCCACGTCCAGGTCCTCATGCATTCCTCCCCTTTCTCTTGGTTTTCTACTACAGAACTCGAAGTGGCACCAGCACCGGTCGCGGCGCCCGTTGAGCAGCCGGTGGAGGTGACCCCACCTGTGGCATCGCCCGTCGCGAAGCCCGTGGAGCAACCCGTAGCAGGTAACCGAGAATTGTCTCGGTTTTTACCTTGAACTATCTCGTTCGCCATCCATCTGGACGTGACGACTACGTACGGTAGCGCGTTGCGGGGTAGGGTGTACTCGAAGCCACATACCACAGGCAATGCCTACTCTAGGGGTGTATCGAGCGTTTACTTACATTTCGCGAGAGGTAATTACCGAGTCACAAACCGCTCGTTTTTGTTGTCTCAGCTCGGTCGGTACCGGAGCCGCCGACTCCAGACGTTCCAGCACCTACGGTCGAAGAACCGGCAGCCGAGGAGGACAAGGCTCCGCCCGTGTCAGCTCCGGCTGCCGGTCCGGCGCCCGTGTCGCCAACGGTTCCTGCCGCCTCCCCGGAAGAGCCCGAGGCACCGACCAGTCGAGCATTGCCGGATCCCCCTACTCCATCGGAAGAACCAGTCCCGACGCCAACCCCATCTACTCCACTTGTGGTGGTAGAGAGTGTGAGTGGGTTGCGAACAGCGTTTTCTGTGCTGAGCAAGTATAATCGTTTCGTGAGCGCGTTCCGACTTCGTCTTAACGCCAGCGGTGCCCCGCTGAAGGTTCTTGTAGAGAAGCGTGTAAACAAACGCGCGCGATGTGCGTCTTCGTTAGACAGATTTTATTCGGTGTTCGGCACGGATCGGAGCCGTATCTACAGCAGTGGTGACAAAACGTCCTGGTGCATTGGTCCTGAGCTCCCAGCTATAATACCCCCCACACAGCATGACTTCACGGCCTGGTGAACGAGATCGTCAGGGTTTATGCCGACTGGCCGTGGCCAAACGTCAACAGGTTGTTGAGCAGCCACCCGTAACTACATGTCGTACGGGCCGGTTCACGGATGTATACGTGCCACGCTGACCGAGCCAAGAAACGCGTAAACGAAAAGCCCTCCCTCACTTGACGGTTATTTCTTCGTTCGTGTTTGGGCTCGTCTAGGTCGCCATGCCTGGGACCGCCGCTGCCGGAGCCGTTTCGGCCCTGGCTATCGGGGCTGCTGTGATCGCGGCCGCGGCTACCGCTGCGAACAGTAGCGGGGGCGGAGGCGGAGGAGCAGATCCCGGTGCTGGCAACGCGGTACGAAGTATGTCCGCTCAAGTCAATTGCATTTTGGTTGCTCGTGTTGGTCGCCTTTTGTTTTCTTTTTTCATGGCATTGTAGCCCATGCGACAAAGTTGGCGGCCTAGACTAGAGCGTCTCAGGACTGCATGTCGCCTTCCCTGTCCGCACCACCCGGTCTGAGGATTCACGACCTTACTCTGGACATGCGCATGTATGCGTTTCCCCACGGTCTACACGTACGCCAGGCGACCTCGAACGCCAACCAGCCGAGTGCTCGAGCACCGTCGGCGATCTTGGGCGCTGTTGCTGTGACCCAGCTGCAGTTTCTGGCCACGCTGTCACTCGTGGACGACACGGGGGGAGAGGATTCTTCGCTGCCGGGGTTCGCAGACAGTTTCAGGTGAGACTGGGGTGCTGGAATAGTCGGTGTAAAAGAGCGTTTGTCCTCTGTAAGGGTGCCACGTGCTCTTAAAAGCACGGAATAAAATGCTGTGGAAGAGTTCTTCCCTGGCCGTTCTCCAAACAGTTCTAACGTTGAAGCGCGTTCTACAAATGACGCCGCAAGAGACTTTTGTGCTTGCATACAATCGCCGAGGAGGGTGTATGATAGCCTCGTCGGCCGCTAACGATCCCTACGTGTGCGCGCACCCGTGGAAGGTAGATTCGACGGGCCCTGCAGCTCTTATGAAACCAAGTGCTTTACCCACCGTTCCCTTGCTTATCAAAAGGTGGGCCAACTTGTGGCCGCCGGCATCCTTCGCCGAGGAGTTCATCGACACGTCCGACGAGGGCCAACAACGCCGTCTCCAGGAGGAAGCCGACGGCGGCGGCGGCGGCGGCTGCTCGTGGGACGGGAGCCTGGGCGGACTCGGCTCCCTAGTCTTCATCGGGAACCAAGGGTTGGTCTTCGGCGCGCTCGTGCTGATCTTCCTCCTGCACGTGTCGCTTGTATCTGGGGTGGAGGCGTACTGGCTGGCGAAGGTTCGTCGATGTTCTTCTTCTTTTTGAATCGATCGCTTTGGTTAAGACTGTTGGAGGAAATCCCGTTGGATAAGGTGCCCCACACGTTATAATCATTTGATACGAACTTTGGGGGGTGAGCGTTCACATAAATGTGCTGTGAGGTCCTTGGCCTACGGGCTGAAATAGGACAACAACTCGAAGTGTGGGCGGGATCACCGCCCGCCGCAGAAGACCTCACCAACCCCCAACACTTGTATTCAATGTAGATGATCCGCATGGAGATTATGTATGTATCATCATTGCTGTACATAGGTGTATGGGTGTACGTACTAACCCCCGTTCACAGTTCGCGTCGCCCCTTCATGTCTTGGTCGTATAGCGCTCTGATCCTCTGACTAGATCAATCCGCGCTGCTTGATGCCGGAGCCGTTGCCGACAAGCCTGCCCCCGACGTCCATAATTTTTCGCTCTTTCGTCGCTAGAAACGCGCCAAAGAGGAGGCCGCCAGGGCTCGACGCCTCGGGGTTTCGATAGGCGAGTACTTCAGCGACACCCACGTGGATGGACGAGAGCACGAGCAGGCGCCCGTTCCCGAACCAGATGCGCGTCCCTCGGGTGGAACCACTGACATCAGCGTGGCCTCCTCCTTCCGACGACGACGACTTCGGAGAGACCCTTCCCTCCTGAACGCAGCTGCAACAGGCAGCCAGCGACGGCTGGAGAAACTTCCCGCCCTGGATGCTCCTCATCGAAGTCGGAAGGTACGCGACGGCAGCTGGGTAGCGGAAGACGGAGAGAAGAAGGAAGCCAGGAGCGACGACAACTTGAGCGGTACCGACTGCAGCGACTACGACGAGGAGGGCGGTGGCGGCCTCGGCACGCTTACCCGCGCCGAGAGCCGGCTGAGCCCCGTGGCAGAGTGCCGGGAGCACTCGCGGTCGGCCTGGCTCCACTTCCCGCACGTCGAGCTCGTGTTCCTCTTCTTCGCGTACGAGGGAGCCGTGGCGTCGCAGGTGTCAGCCCTCCGGGAGGCCGGCTGTCCCCCGGTGATGATCGCAGCGGGACTGGCCTTGGTGAGGAAGAAGCATGCTCTGCCGTTTGGTTTCTGAAGAGTGTTTTTGTTTGTTTTGCTCTGGTGTGTAGTGCCACAGTAGCGTCTGTGGAAAAATGTGCTCATTGGGTCAGGAACGTGCACCTGGTCAGGTAGCAGGTCTGTTACCCGATCGATCGCGTCCAGTTTCGAACATATACACGCATTCTGCTGTTGTCTGCTGCGAGGAGTACATCGGGTGCTTGCTGATATCTCTCGTATAGGTGAAAGCACCGCCGTGCTCCCTTGGGATGCAGGGAACGTGTGCCAGCGTCGGTCCGTTCTACAACTCTGCACCACCGCTGACCAGGTGCCCTCCCCCAATGACACTGCCCGTGCTTTTCCTGCACCCCTTCCGTGTGTGTTCTACAACCAGGTCTTCTACCCAATCCTGATGTTCGTCGCCGTGTTGCGCACTTTCTTCGTGCGGGTGCGGCCCAACACGCTAATCGTCTTCACCCCGAAGGAGGCCGACGATGACACCGGTGATGCCGGGGACGCCGAGGAAGGCCAGCGCGCCCGGTCGGCCAGCTTCCTCTCCAAGGTTAGAGCTGGCTGGGAGGAGGACCACAGCCTGTTCGCGTGGGCCAACAAGGGGACGTGGGAGACGGCGGAGACGGACAACGAGGGGACCCGGCGCGAAGGGCAGTGGTTCCGCATCGGTTTCGAGCCGTTGTTCGTGGACTTCACCAAGTCCGGCGCGTGGTTTGTGGCCTTCACGCTCGTGGAGGTAAATTGTGCCCTTTTCTACACGATTGGTGCTTTCCTGGGCCTCACAGACGAAGAAACAGGGTTCTTGTTGTCATGACAAGCGCCGGGCGTGGCGTGGGGAGACGGGGTTACCCCGCCTCGGCGGTCACCACCAGTGTTTTTTGCTCGTGTCTATTGTCGTGCTTTTTGCGGGGGCTTCCTTCCAGAAGGCGGCGTGCGCGGCACAGCTACGTCCATGCTCGTCCGAGCAAACACCACACTCCCCCTGTTCACTGATTGACTTCCAGTTGGCCCGCCGCGCGATACTCACCGTTGGGGCACGCGCTGAGCAGGAATGCCTAAGCCTCGATCATGCTGTTTCATTCCTACTGATTTCGTTTGCGCAGTGGGCTGCCTTGGGTTGCATCGGGGCACTCATCGACGAGAGCGTGCTGCAGCTCTCGCTCTTCTGCGCTCTCCACACGCTGTCCTTCCTTCTGCTCGTCGTCTTCAGGCCCTTCGCGAATAGGTATGCAGAAGTAGGCAGGAGCGTTTCAACTTTTGGGGTACGATCATAGGACGGAGTTGACGGCGCTGGCCCCGACGCTGGATAGATTTGTCATCCTTCGGCACGGTCTACTCCATCCTCACACATCCACTGAAAACGGAGGGGCCGCTCACTAGAGAAGGCGTTGAACAACGAGAGGCACGTCTACCGGTAGACTCGTCTAAGGTGTACCGCTGACGGTCGATTTCCGTACCATTTTTGCGTACCAAACACCGGTAGATATTTCAAGTAACTCGGGTTTCTCCCGAGTCTGGGAGGTGTAATATCGTTTGGGGTAAGTTGATACTGGTTCTACGTAACCATGTGTCATCTCGTTTGGGCTGCGTGATTCAACTGACTTGACAGAAAAACACAATGCGTTCGTTTCTTGGGTCGGTTGTATTTCCGTGCTCACAGCGTCATCAACGCCATGGGTGCGGGCCTAGTGGGCATCGATGCTGTGTGCATGGCCCTGCTGGCCGTCTCCGCCAGCCGCTGGGAGGGAACCGCGGCAGCAGGGAAGGTCGACTCGGTGGTGATGCTGCTGCAGCTGTTCGCTCTCTGCGGTGAGCGCATGGATGTTCGTGGATTTCCTCTCCAGACTCCCCGGCGAAGGCTGAAAGGCTGAGCCGTCAACGACGCTCGCGGCTTCGTTGTCCCTCGTTTTGACACTCTGGCTATGAGAACCTTATGTGGGCTGTCGACCAATCGAGACACTGTCAATTGGGAATATGCCTTGAGATAATTTTGACGCGGCCTTGATACTGCAAAGATTCTTACAACACACTTGGGTGCATGAGAGGATTTCAAGAGCGCGTAAAGCCCGTACGTCACCTGTTTCTCCCGCCCTTTCCGCTTTTGCTCTGTATTTTCGATCTATCAAGGCGCTAGTCGCCAAGCCACAATGTAAATGTAACCAACGTTTTGTCAACTCCCGTTGGCACACCCAAAGCCGAGGCCAATCAACGGCCGTTATTTTGCCTTCGTTCGGGTCGAAAATAACTTTGAAATGGTTCAGAATTCTCCTTCCTCTTTTGGCTTCGGCTTTCGGCATGTCTACGTCGTAACGAAAGCCGGATTATCACTTATCTACACCCACCCACACCACCCCTTGCACATCCTTGTTATTTTCAGCGCTGATCATTCCGATCTATATTGACACCTCATTGATCTTGATCGGAGCGATACGCAGCCGATTGCAGAAGAGCACCACAACTACCCCGCAGCATGTCCGGACAGAGGTGAGATATTCCAAGAGTGTACACGTGCCGTTTACGGTTAGTTCCGAAACGGGGAAATACGGGTTGTCTCATTGTACCGTGTGACCCGTATCATCTGGTATTCAGTGGATGCGGATAGAGAGCGCCACTCTGTTTGTTCACCAAGGAGCAGCAAGGGCACCGAACTAGAAATACGCGACAGGATCAGTTGCAGCGCCTGTCGAATGTCCCCATCCGCTTGGAAGCGCGCAACGAAACCGGGTCACTATGGACGCCAGCAAGAACATCCTATCTCAATAATGCCTCCGTGTCACTTGGCGCCTGACAGTCTGCGGCTGCTAGCTGAAAAATACACTAAGTATTGTCCCCTCGGTACCTTTGTTGGTACTGATCCAACCTGTTGTTTCCCCCATCCCACCCCCGTTTTCTTTTCAGGCCGAAAAGGAAGAAGATCTCTTCGTTCGGCACTTCATCCGGCGCTCGTGGCCGCGCACGTGGTGCACCATGCTCGGCAAGAACATTTTCGCGTGCGCGAGCGACACGAGAGAGGGCATCCGCCCGCCCGGCACGTCCATGGCCGAAGACCGCCTCGCCACATCCACCGCGCGCGCCGCGCGCACGGGTCCGTTCCCTATGCCGAGCGCGCTTCGACTGAGAAGAAGGAGCAAGTCATCGCCGGTCGGCTAGCGAGTCGCAAGGAGAAGGCGGTGTACAGCCACGCAGCTGGCGGTTGTGTGGCCGCAGTTGATCAACAGGCAGTTGCGTTGAGCATGTGTAAGCCGACGGCGGTTTGCACATGCATCTGGAGAGTTCAGGCGTCGCAAGCAGTAGACCCAGGCACCTTGGGTGCTGTGGGACTCTGGCAGGGCGTTCTGAATCGATCAAGTCTTTTGGCACACAAGAGAGTTGTTCTGTCTTAAGGCGAATTCCGCCCTGCCCTGAACGTGTAGTTCGACTTTTGTTTTGGTTTGTTTTGTATGTCAAATATTTAGGTTGAATTGGCCCTTCTTCGAGTCGGACGCAATATGTTTGTCTATAGGCTACGGCACCCTCGTTGTAAGTTAAGTTGATTCGAAGTTTTTGGCGCCCTTCCGGACAACTTCTTAGCTTGAAAAGTTTAATTCGAGTTCCGGTTTCCATTGTGATGGCAGCACGTGGGTGCTTGTCAAAGAGAGGAGCCTGCCGCTGACTCGTCTTAGATGTGAACATGAAACAGATATGGCCCCGCTTAACTGTTTCTCTTTTGTCTCTTGTTTGTCTGTTGGCCGTCCATGATTCAGTCCACGATGGGGATTGGAGTTGTAGCTAATTGTAGGTTCTGGTAAAGGAGGCATGGCTATTAGTCTTGGCTGATTGATTCGTCCCAACTTTGTGGCCGCGTTGGTGAAACCTTCGTTGGACCTGTAGCAAGCATTACAGGGCCCTTAGACTAATAATGTAGATGTTTTACACGTGCATTGTGCACTGTATCTTACGTGATGTCATGGTCATTGTTGAGTTGTCGGTTGTTTGTCGTTGTTGTTGGGGTCGTTGTCGTTTGTTGTTGATGTTGTCTTCGTCCCATCATAGTATCTGGCCCCTGTTTGCACCTTTCGTTGAACGTTTGACGCAGCAGCACGCAGGAAGAATGGTTAACACTGGAGTTTGTTCTCTGCATGTCTTCCCCGCGGTGCTTGCCTCATTTGTTTCACCTGAGAAGGATACAACAGTCTGTTCCCTCTTGTTCGTGCTCGCGCACACCACAATAATGCACTTTCGTCCTTCAGGTTGTGAGTTTGTCGTTGCCGAGAGATTCAAACCCGCAGTCTGAAAAGCCAGAAACGTGTGTGAGGCCTGCCAACTGAACCGGGGCGATTGTTGTGGGTGAGTTTTGAAGCCTAGCTCTTCGTAGGGAGACGACCAACAACCTCCTCACTGGCGAGGTTTGGAGCTACCGTACGCTTTTCCGGTTGAGATTGTGTTTGTTGTATTAAGCCGTTGAGACTCCCTCCCTTGTGATTGTTAGATTGTCGTCCCCGCTCAGGTCTCAAATACCTCCATAGAGCGCGTATAGAGGTATTCGGTCCTGCCACATGCATCGCTTGGTCTGCTACTGACAGTACGGACATTTTTTTTTTCTTCTGTCGTGTGGAGCTCTTCTGCGGAAGCCGTTGTGACTGTTGTTCGGCGACGCTGAAGGAGAGTGTCGCCGTCTTGCGGCCTTCTTAGCAACCAAAGGAGGAAGTTGTGGCGTACGACGGCGCCGGGCGGGTTTCTGTCAGCCGTTTTAGTTGCAAAATCTCATGCTTCGCCAGATGCCTCGCGCAGGCCCCAGCTAGCATTTGCCCCACGTGCGTTTTTGCTGCGCTGCATGGACTTACCATACGGAAAAGCTGGACCGCAGAACCACAAACAAACGGGTTGAACAGCAAAAAGGTAAAAACCAAGCGCCTTCGCTCCCAGGACTGGCGAGTTGATTTCATGGGAGAGCGTCTCTTAAGGGGCTGAGAAGACGGCAGCCAAGTTCACAACGTTGAATGTCTGCTTCCTGTCGACCCTTTTGCGGTTGATCGTGCAAAGTTTCTTTCACTCCACTGGCGTTTCTTTCTTGAACACCTTAGGTTAGTATGGGCGCTATCTGTACCACCCGTGTACGCAGCGGACAACACAAAATAGGTGTTGGGAAACAAGGAAACAACATCTGTCGCGTGGACCAAACGCGCACCATACGCGGCTGGCTGTGGTCGCACATGTGCGTGCGTCCATCCGGGAGCTGCTGGGCACGTGCCCGCGCTCTCGCCTGTGTGCGCGCTTTTACCTTGCTTCAACTCGGCCTTGAGTGAGAGTGGGTTTCACCGTACGTCTACAACAAAAAGCAACACACGTACGAGTTGTTATCCTGCCCACCGGAGGCCAAAAAAGCTCGACATAAAACCACCCTACCTAACGTAACCCCCTAACATGATCTTCAGAAATAGTACAAGCATGCCTGCTGGTATGACCAGCAGAAACCCCTTCCAAATGGACGAGAACCACAAATAATGGCGCTCGCCAGCTACACATACCTACCCAGAGAATCAATACGCAAACGACAAACTATCGCAAAACATAAATGGCGGACCCCAACAAAGCCCCCGAACAATAAAAGGGATGCTCACACCCTTCGATGCCATAGCACCAACCGAGATGCAAACAGTGACACATCCACATCCTCCGCAACGCATCTGACGTCTAAACCCCCTCCAAATGGCGGTAGGCCTATAGACTTGTATGTAGACCTGGACAGAAAAAAAGAACGGAATATTTCAACCGTTTCCTTCACGAAGGTTCCTGTCCCTTTCCACGCGAATCGAGTCGGCCACAACGCGTTAAACCATCCCGCACAACGAGGCCGCTAGAATAAAGAAACACCCGAATCGCTCGACGAAAGGGAACACAGAAATTACTCCTTGTATGAGCCCGCGATCAGAAGGCGGTCGCGTTGCGTTGGGCTGGTTTTGCCCGAGTGCCGAAAAAGTGGTACTAAATTTTGCTGTAGGCACCCGCCGTAACGTTCCTAATCCTAGTAAGAGGATTATCATGTCTGGTGCAGTCAGCGTCTATCTCCCAGAATGAATGCTGATGCCAAGGAATGCACCACCAGCAGCAGGCCGGGTTATTCTTGACTAGTTTAACAGGGACATAGTCTACATACCCAAGGTTAAAATATAATATTGCGCCCGCGAAGCCAATTCCGAAGTGACTGTAGTAGTAGACTGACGAAAAAAACCATGAAAAATGGTGCCGAAAGCTCCCGCTGTCGCTACTATGTCAGCGCTTTTCTATTAGCACAACGAACGTGTTATCTAGACATAATTCACAAAAGGCGTGCCATCCCCTTCCGTGCTTTGCGACGACGGCCAAAAACCCAAACAGCGTCATCCCCGGCGGCAAATTTCAATAGTTTTGGTACAGTAGTAGCAACAAGGCCTACAGGCTGCTGGTGAGGCACCCCAGACAAACAAACAAACAAAAAAAACGTGGCAACGTGATGCCGCCGTGGTTCTTGGCCGTTGTCTTGAAATTTCCAACGAAAAGAGCCTCGTCGGGATAAAAAAATATCAATACCGTCGCTTAAAGTCCACAGGCGCCACGCGCCATTGATAAATAAATGCCCAAATCAGCAATATAGAGAACGGTACACACGTATGGGCAAGATGTCACGGTCGCTCAGTAGCCCCGGCGTGCGTAAGTACTAGGCAGGAGGACATGCCACGAAAATGTACATCAGCAATCTCTTCAACGTTGTGCCTGCAGTTCAGTGCTGTACAGGCGTTCCGAGAAAGAGACAGAGTTCGAGGGATTACCGTACAAACCCGATCGACTCGGTTCAAACCGGTGTAGCCGGAGACAGCAGTGCTCCCACCAACCGTCTCGCCATGGGAATAATTTCCCGAAACGCTCCTCTGCGTTCAACCGCGACCCTCCAGCACGTTCGAATTCAAATCTCAACAGCAATGCCAGCGTTCCCCGACTCACGCGGTCAAGAAGCACACCGTGTCAGGCCCAACCTTAAACCTTTCGCCGACGGAGACCTTCACTTCAACCAAAAGCCAACCAATCACGACACGTAGACGGTTCTTTCCAGCACCCCCCGAACGCAGCCGGTACTGCTGTGATTCCCCGCGCAAGAGTCACCGCCCTCAGCCACGGCCGTGTCGCTGAATTGACACGGTCTGCCGCCGAAGAATGTCAAATAATCAGTGGCACAACCCTGACAGTTTTGGCTCACGAGGTCCAAAGAAACGGCGCGAGGCTCAGCAGTCCCCCGATGATTCCAACGGCGGAAGCAACAGCAGCAGGAATCACCGGGCGAGATCCGCCGCTCCCTTCCACGTTTATGGGGGACGGTGTCGCGGGCCAGGTGCATTCCGAACTATCCGGCCTGAGCTGGTAGGAGACTGGCACGCAGCAGGGGCACTCCACCAGAGCATCCGTTCCCCCCGACTGGTGGTTGCGATCGATTCGAGGCGAAACAAACGTGTATCGAGATCACGACTGAGTGGTGATGAACGAGAAAAACGAGTCAGCCACTTCTACACCCAGCTGTCTTCTCTATCCTACCGAAGATGCAGTTGCCGGGCCGTGGGTCCGGTCCCGAAATTAACAACATGCGAAAAAAGACTGCGCAAAAATGAACGCACACACCTGCTAGAAAAGAAGGCCCAAACGTGGACTGACCCCAACATGTCAAACAACGAGGCTTTGAATATATTTTTCGTGTCGACGCACATTCTTCAGCATCGTGCTACAGACTTACGTTCGCATTGTCACGTTATGAGTGACGCGTCCGTTGCCTGCAAGGCGGCCGTTGCTGCCGTTTCGGAGAAGTTTCCTTACGTGATAAAAATCGCGATTTTCGCATCTGCGTGCGATGACTCTACGCTAGATTTGACTAAGGAAAGCCCTGGTGCTGACGCGGATCTCCGGGATTCGTATCGTCAACAAACCCTCCCCGTTCCGTTGCGTGAATCGTTACCCTTGAGATGGCCAAAGATTCGTCCCCGCGGATATTCTGTGTGCCCTCTTTGAAAAAAGGCGGTCATGGAACTGTTGGGAATCGATTGCAATACATCGAGAGGAGGAGCATACCCCGCACGTTTTCGAAGGTGTACGTCCCATACCAACAGCATGCAAGAAAACACGGATATCGTCGTTGTCTAGGTGAGAAGAGTCGCTTGACAAATAGCTCACCGCCGCGTAAGCAGTCTCGTCGAAAATGCACTGTCGGCAGTCTTCATTGCCGGCGATGTCGCAGCCGAGCCCCTCGCAATTTGCTTCGTAGTAGGTCTGGCGTGGAGTTTACGTTGGGCGCGGAAAGACACAGGGGGCGTGGTATCACGTTTCTGCAAGCACATAGCACAACTAACTGCGAAAGAGCCGTTGCCACACGGGGTTGTGATTGTATGGGGCGTTTTCCTCGTGGTAAGCTGGCGTGCTTCGGCTCCGAGACAATGCTGCTTGATGCACTTGCTTGACGCGCGGGGCTGCCCCAACAAGCAAAGGGTCTATGCTCTCTCTGCATAAGCGGCTGTTACCGAAAACGGAGGTTGTGGGCGGGGGCGTTAGGCTACGAGCCACGAACAGGCTACAATGTCCTGTCTTGCTGGTGTCGTACTGTGGGTCTGGCATCGTTTCCCCCGCTCGTGAGTTTCATCTTGACGCGTCATGGTCGCTAAAGCCACCACCCGCTGGATGGTACAGTCATCAGTGCCGGCATTTACGACGAAAAGAGGAGAGAACGCTTTCTGTATCGAATGAAAGGGCTACCTCGAACGCTTCAAAGGAAAATGTTCACGGGTATTCCCCCTAGGCACTTTCTGTCCATCATCGAGCTGGAAGAGATATGGTGTTTGGTTTGGCCAGGTGGCCTTAGGCCTGCTAGACCTGCATTCGAGAGGGAAGTTGGTGCTTGACGTGTGGGTTCTAGCTCTCCCCACAGTGAGGAACGAACAAGCGCATCTGCGCGCTACAGAACCTGGCGTGTGTTCCTGTGTGTAGATTCAAATAGGCACGGAAAAATCATGTTGATATTCTCGTCCCCGTTTCAAGTCTCTCACCCCAATGCCATTTGCCAAGTCCACGGGAGATGAGATGTCGACGCACAACGTGGAGTCACCCGTTGTGTCACCTGCCACGCCGACCTCGCAGGGTTCCATCGCAATCTGTCAAAATTCATGAGAAGCAGGCACGGAAACAGGGAGGTAAGCTCATCAGCCTCGCTCTCCCGCCACAGCTGTTCCGCCGGCGGACACAACTAATGAGTACTTGAAGTAGTCGGCAAGGGATAGAAGTAGCTCTGAGGAGAGGACGAGAGCAAACCAGACAGCGAAGACCTACCGTAGGTTACATGACTTAAGATACCACACACACCCTTGGACCGATTTTCAAAGCTCAATCGCTCCACGAAGAACATGCCGAATCAAAGGATACCTTCTCGGGAAGCTCGCGACGAGATGGTTCCGCCATTTTCGGCACCCGTTACTACTTCTGCCTGCCGAGTAGTCGAACTTTGAAAATCGGGCCACGGGGTGTGATGTCTTATGCAACCAAAGGGAGACCAGAGCAACCCCATGGCCACAACGCAATGACGAAGCGTCATCGCCACCACCACCTCCAAAACCGATACACATCACGCCAAGGAGAAGCCTAGAAAACCCACCACCGGGGCTGCGGTAGGAGCTGGAGTAACGGCCATGACCGGCGCCAGTGTGGCGACGCCCACGCTCGCTTCGTCTTCCGCCGGAGGGGCAGAGGTAACACCGGGAACCATGGTCGGCGCAGCCTGCGGCGCCATGGTCGGCAACGGCGTGGCCGCCGGGACTGGGATCGGGGGTGCGGAGGCGACGAAGTCGCAATCGATGTCCCCTCCCACCTCGTACACTTCCGGCACGCAGCAAGGGCAGTCCACGAAGGGCACCTGGTCCGGAGCGAGCCAGCACACCATGCACAAAGGAGATCGGGCGTTCGATAACCTGGCTCTCTCCCTGCTTGAGGACGAGTCCCTTGAAGACCGTACTGAGGCGGAGTGGCGTTATTGCTTGGAACATTGAAGGGTGGAGAAAGTGTTGTGAGCACACAAGGGTGGATGGAAAACGCTAGGAGCTACAGTAGGAAAGATTCTAAGCGGGCTTACGGCGATGGGGAGACTCTTTATCTTCGAGAGGGGACTCACATGGATTCAAATCTTGGAAGACGAACTACAGCGAATCGCGCGACTTTGATAGGGTTTCAGCTCTTGGAACACGACGACCATGGATTCAAACAAACACGCCAGACGAGGAGATTCGAAGCCTTGCTCACATTTGGTTTCACTGAGGAAGGGTATGCTCCAGAATAACTATACTCGAGAAAACACTGCACTTGTGCTGTACACCATCCGGTCTAGGAAGGTCGGGTTTTGATGTAAGGTTTGCAGTAAGCGAGAGATGGGCCGTTTCGAGGCCGCTGAGCCGTTCGCCTTTCGGTCTCTCACCTCCTCTCCCTCGAGTATATTCTGGCTGTAGAGGGCGCGGTGGAAAACGCATAGCCTGCAGTTGGGGACGCTGCAACCGAGTTGGGAGTCAAGGGAGGAGGTAGGGGGCCGATGCACGGGCGCGAAAGAGAAAGGAAGGTTGAGGTTAGCGGAGAGAGAGGTTGAAAGGGAAAATGAAAACGGCGCGTGTACTTTGTGTACTTGTGCCGGGGGGGGCTCGGTTAGGGTTGCGGGGGATAACGTAGCCCGCCTGCGTCGTGCAGGGACTCGGCATTCGAGAGTGGGAAAGACAGACACTGCGTTGTTGGGTAGAAGCAAGACAATCTCCTTAATACTTCGAATGCTTGGATCGAGAAGAAACGGCTGGGCGGTCTTCGCAGTTGTGCCGCGTCGACCGTAGACCCGCTCCTCTTAGCCCGGTCAGCGCCGTTGAAAGGAACTATTTCGAGAGTGTGAAAGGTTGGCGTGCTACAAAACCAACAGCAACAAGAACGTCCTCCACTCCATGCACTGTATCGAATCGTTTTGGCGAGAGCAGCTAACACACTGGCGGTGGCCTAAATTGAGGAGAGATGTCGATTTTGTGGAAATTGCGTTTTGTTTTGATCACGTCCCATCTTCGAGAACACTACTTTATGCAAGGGGTCGTAGGCCTGCCCAACCAACGCCTTGGTGGCTCTTTCTCACTCTCCGAGAGAGCAGCCCACGAAGCCCGTTCCCGACTGCGCCCCCGCGCAACCAAGCTCGTCGTAGAATGCCCCGACACCGTTCGCCCTGTCCGCATCCGTCGCCATTTCAACTGGAAACCCACGTGTATACACGAACAAGTGTCAGCGACAAGCGGGCGTTCTCATGAAGGGGAAAGGGCGAGCTGTGCCTGAAGTTGGCTGTCGTCAGTGGAAACTACGGTTTTTCGTTAGACATTGCAATTGTTGTCTGCCACACGGTTCTGAAAAAACCGAGCTCCACGGCAAACACGGTACGGTATACAGCAGTATCCATCCGAAAAACACTCCGATGGCAATGGCTGCTTATACAGACCCTGTTCAGGAATTCAAGCCAGGTCGGAAGTCAGACGATGCAAGACAGACCTCATCGCTCAGACTCAGACGGTCAAAGCAAAACTGCAAGAAAACATGCGACTTTTACACACAAATAGTGCCGAACAAAGGTGTCCTGATACCGTAGGTTCGGTGACATACCATAGCCCTTGGATCGATTTCAAAAGCTCGAGTACTCTTCAGCAAAACCAGTGACGGTGCCGACAAATGGCGGCGTTGGAAGCGCCTCGTTGAGAGCGTTTCAAAAGAATATGGTAATATTCTTTGTACACCCTCGTCGTCGTGTAGACTAGTAGTCGATCCTGAGGATGTGATATATCTTGCAACCTACAGGGCCCCATGACATTCAGGAACTCGTGGACCACCCCCACGGGAGTCTCAGTTTTTTCATATTTCTCTGTCCAAAGCATTTCGTGTGCTCTTCGAAAAGCGAGGCTGGTCCTGCGTAATTTCTTCCATGGCTGACCCCGGAAATTGCATGTACGGGTTGTCGTTGAGACAGTCAATCCACAGTGCATGTCGTGAATTTCCAGAGGTCTCGAGGAAATCGACACGGAACAACGGGGAGGCGGCACCGTCGCTGTTCTGCGACAAGAACATGACCAATAATTAATGAAATGTGCGATATCTACAATTTTTCGTAAATATGAAAGAACTTGCACGCCACCACGCTACCACTGCTGGTCCATCATGGCGTGATCTATTAACCTTCCTCTACGGCAGCACACACATCACAGAACACCCAAAGATGGAAGCAGAGAAAAGGAACGTGCACAGGAGCAACATGGTCAAGTAACTCTTCGTACTTTGCGTCAGGACCCTCCTCGGTGCTTGCTTGGGTCAATCTCACCTTACACACACTCAACAGGCTCTAAGTTCAATAGTCTAGACCTGTACATATCATACGCGCAGATGAACACGACAATGATTCGACTACATACTGCAGCGGAACGCTGCAAACGTGAAATCATGGCAGTGTTTCTCCCTGTGGCTCCCCCAAGACATGAGTGTGAAATCCGACAACACACGAGACGACGGACAATAAAATCGGAGTGCAGCAGAAAGCAGACTGCCCAGGCACCGCCGGCCTTGCCTAGCAGCCGCACAAACTTCCCTCGGAAGGAATATGGCCAAACTCTTCGGACAGCAGTGTAGGAAATAATCCAGTTCAAATTCACAGAACGCAACTGACACACATGTCGAGATGGATTCGATTCTCAAGGCTCGCCAACATCCACCCGCCGACTCTATCCAACTCCAAGCTCAGCTCACCGCAAAGGATATCACTCTCGTTAGTGAAAGAGTACGGCCGCTCGCAGAAGCTGTAGAATGGAAACGTGGGCGGCGGAGTCGGCGCAGGGGTTGGCGCTGGAGTTGGGGCCTTGCTGAAGGTGGGAGCCGGTGTGGGGAACAAAGTTGGCGCTGGCGTGGGGAAAGGTGTCGGGGCAAACGTTGGTGCCAAGGTGGGCGCCGGCGTGGGCGGCTCAGTGGGCCCTGGCGTAGGTGCTGGTGTTGGTTCCATGGTCGGTGCTGGCGTGGGCGCCTCAGTGGGCGCTAGGGTCGGTGCTGTAGTGGGTTCCGGTGTAGGGCCTGGTGTTGGTGCGGGAGTCGGTTGGGGTGCGGGAGTCTGTTGGTTCTGCCCCAGCGTGCACGGGAGCGACAGCATCAGGAGGCCGAGGACGGCAAAAAGAGTTTGACGCGGCGCCCACATGGTCTTCGGTTGGAAGCTGGCGCACACGGGCGGTTTGCGGGAGGTCGGGGTGGGCGGGAACAGTGGGCCCGGGAGGCTGCGAGTGGGGTATCTTGTCTCGCAGCTGTTACTGCTGTTCAGTGTGGCCCAACAAACTTGGCCGGTAGAAGGCTGATGTCGTGGTATCCCCCCTTATGTATGCTGCATCCCGCGCCTCCTGCCAACGGCCGGCAAGTGGTAAAACGAGGGTGTCATGTTGTTAGAGTGTTGTTGACGCAGCGTACGCAGAGATCGGCATCGGGGCAGCGGCCTCATAGCGATTGGGTGAGGTGGGCGGAAGGAGCACAAGTACGCCCTGTGGCGGGAGTGATGCCAGGCTTCTCCTCTCGCTGCCACAGCAGTCTACCGTAGCCCCGTAAATGGTGGTCGGGTGATGCGCGTGGTATCCCCCTCGCTATTCCTACCTACCTCAAATAGCTACACTTGGAAATAGCTAAATGCGTCAGTCATCATCCGTGTGGCTCCGAACCCACAAGCGCGTTGAGTGCGTTGGCTTCATCTTCTACCGGGCAGGGGGCACGATAGAAAGAGCTACAGCTCCAACATCAGGACCAACTAGCGAGAGAGCGAGGGGGAGAGGACGCGAACCCGATCAAGTGGTCTGTGTTACCCCGACAGGTAGCCGCACGGAACCGTCAGGACCGACCAATAATATTCGCGCAAAAAAAGAGTGAAACAAAATGCACCAACACGACCCTCACCGTCATTTCGACATGATGCACCGACAGAGGAGGAGTCTCTCCTAGAACTCAAGACAGCTCACGGATTGACGGCCAACCCCAAGGCGCAGCGCATGCCAACGCACCGTTCAAGTTTCGCGTTCATGCTCAGCTGCCTATCTATTCACACACATGCATACGCTATCGGTTTTCGAACAAGAATAAATGAAGTTACGTGCGCACGTACACATACATACATGCACACAACAACACCCATGCGGCGCTTTCCCAAAATAAGGTCGAGTGCAGACGTGCAGACTCTTTGGTGCGTCCGGAAGGAATCGAGGATATTCCATCACGACGGGAGACGTGGCCACCCAAGGGTCGGCACAACCACATCGACCTCGTGTAAACTGAGAAGACGGTGACACGCAGCAGTGGCGACGATGAATATCAAATTTGTTCACCTCGAAGCCCCCGCCTCCCAGAACCACGTTGTTGTTCTTCTCTTTGGAAGAAAAATGCTACTGCTGTTGTTGTTGCCGCGGTTTTGTTGGTCGGCGTACTGTAGTAGCTGTAAGCCTTCTGCTCAATCTTGGTGCCCTGGTCGAGAGAGGAAGCGTGCAAGGGAACACGTCAAAGCGGATCAAGGCGTGGGGCACTTGTTCTGGTGAAATCGTCAGATCGGAGATATGGGGTCAGACGAGGAGCTTCTCCTGCTAGCAGCAGTGGTATTCGTGAATATGCGACAAGGGCAGCCGTCCGTTAGGCGCTACAACGTACACCATTATTCTTTTTGTGTCTTAAGTACTGTAATATCTGTCAAGTATGCGGTCATACAAACCTCCGTTCGTTGACGAAAGCATACAACAAGTGAGCGTGATGTCACGGAGATATGCATCAGGGACAGGGATGCATCCGACCACCACAATTATTGTGAGCGGGGTCGAACGTGGGCACTCCTTCAAACTCACTTGACCCGCCTAGCGTGCTTGCTTGAGTGGGCAATGACGACAATGACCTGGAGGGACAAACAGGCAGCCGAATTTCCGGCAAGCTACGCATTCATTTCTGGTAGATCTTGGTCCAACCATTTGTAGGAATCCTAATTCACTGCTTCCGTCTGTAGACCACCCGAGTTCTTCAGCGTGGATACCGGAAGATGAGACAAGATTCATCGGCTCAACCAATGAATGGGCATCCAAAATTTCGGTTGGAAAAAAGTAACTCAACCGCGGCGGGGCTTTTGTTCAGCGGAGATAACTGAATCGCACCCCGTGAAGACGTGTTTGGTGGATGAATCGTCGTCGGTGATTCTGGTTCATGTCCCACATGCCAGCCTTCCTTGCTTTCCACCCATCATCGCTAGCAAAGCGCGTCACCACCCTAGACTAGCTAAGAAGTCTTAACGTACAGTAGTAGTGTAGAACCGCTTCGTTCTGTGAAACTGTCAAAACAGGCAAATCGGACGTGCGATGAATTAATTAGGCCAACTATTTACTAGCTCGGTTCAGCGTACCTCATGTGCATGGTGACGTCGTTTTTGTTCGATACAGGCGGCATACGTACAGTACTGCACACGGGACGTGTAGTACAACACCCGTTCTATTTTCTACTTTCGAAAAGTCCCACAATTACCTCTGTCTTCCTTCGCACCGCGCTCCGTCCGAAAATCGAACACATTCGCTCCTTAGTCCACACCTCACCTTCGAGCAGCGACTGTATCGATGTTTTTGTTGTAACTTATCGATCGGCACACTGCTGTTTGGTTCTCAAAGCACGTTCGTGTATACTATCGTAATTGTGAGCGTCGGGTACAGAAGAAGTGTAGCATCGCTGCGTCGGCTACACACATGCAAGAACGCAGTATTCGTTCTTTCCTGTAACGAGCGGCGTTGTACTGCTGCAGGTGTCGGCAACGCCGACTAAACCCCGCTTCGGGCGTGAAAGCTGCTTGCTATACCTAGACTATACCACATGTGACTCCGGGGTACTTGATGAGGCTCAACGGCTCTATGATACGCAGGAAAACCACGGTAGTTCTAGTAGTCGGGGGCTCTACTACTTCCACAGGGGCTCCACGCTGCTATGTATCTCACCATCGCACATGATGTTGCCGCGGGATCGACAAATGGTACACTAAAGTACACGAGGCACACCCCGCCGCAGCCTACAACCTGATGCGCAAGGTACACATTGAGCCGTGCAGTTGAGCAGTAATGACATGCATCTCGCCGCGTTCTTGTACGCCACACGTCACCAACAGTAGTCAGCGGTTGTTTTCAGTGGTCTTGTGTGCGCTTTGCCGCTGATCCTGCAGGTTCCACATGCCACCAGCAAAAACCGCTATGACATGATTCAGAGTAGCGCCTATCGGAGTAGGAGTATCAAAACAAGGGTGGCTGTACTCAGCAGCTCAGGCTGTAGCACCAGGAAAGCCATACAGGGAGTTTGATCAGTGCCGTCCATACCTCTGGGTGGCACCAAAGAAAACAAGAATGAACCGATTTCAAGAGCTTCTTTCAGTCCGGTGCCTTCCCCGCGCAAGCACGGCCACACGTTTCAAACACAATATCTACGCGTTCCCGCGACATCGCCGTGTTGCGCACGGAAGAAAATTTTCCACCAACTTCCGGGTAACAACATCGGGTACGACGCGCTCCCTGTGCTGGGAGCGTCCTGTCATTACTCCTGGCTCCCACGCCAAAGCATGTTGTTCTATCCCATATATGGCGGTGTTCCTCTTGACCTTCGGCGTCTTTGCCAACCCCTGCCGCCTGTGCTATTTGGCTGATGATACTGCTGCCGTTTCCGGTGACAGGGAAGGCAGGAAGGGCTCAGAAAACCGTCGGTACGCCCGGAGTCTTTCCGCGGCGTACGTGAGGTAGTCAAAGCCCGGCGCAGCGGCGTCACTCTGTCGCACGTCGATGAACGTGCAAATTTCGACAACAAACATCATCGAGGGATCGGACGAGCGAGGTTAGAAATAGAAAGCATGTCCAAGGAGTACCGTAATCACACGAGGAAACCCCGCTCCCGGCGTAAGATTTCCGGGTGTATCACAAGTGGCTCCTGGCCACTTGTTGAGCTGTAACCGGTATTCGCCGAAATCTAGGTAAAGCAAAAATCTGCGTGCATTACTCGTTACGGATCCTGTACAAAAGATCTGCTGATCAGTAAGCCGCTGTTGTGAAGTCCAGTATCGCTTATCGAGGTTATCCCATCGGGGACCACAAAAACCAGCAGAGAAATGATTGTAAAACACTGCCGCGCCCGGTGCATTCACTCGCATGATTGCGGTAGTCCATCGTGCTACGTACCTGCTTTACGCATACTGCTGCTGTCAAGGACGGGGTTTCTCGTGCGAGGAAGAGAGAACGTTGCACGCGTCGCGACCAAACGCGACAGAAAAACAACCCTTTGAGCTCTCTCTTGCCTTCGATTGCAGCAGCGCCCACATAGCCCACAGGAGGTGCGACGCCAGAGAATAGGCATCCGCTTCTTTGACAAGGTTTTCGACTTCATCCGCGTTTACCTCTTCGTGCGGAACCTGCTGACAACATCAAGGGCGAAACGTCGCTCACACCAGCGACGTTTGAATCCATGCGGAACTGGCAGTATTGAACGTTCTTGATATGGTGGTTCCCGCGAAAAAAACGGAGGAGGGGAGGGGGGCACATACGCTTAAAGCACGAGTCGCTTCACATCATCATTCATAAAACTCACCCCGTTCATTGCCCCCAGGTAAGCCCTGGAGAACGCTCTTCGTTCCTGCGGCGAAGGGTATCTCTCCAGGTCCAGCACGTGAGGCTCGGCGGTCGAATAGTCCGCCATCCACTCGCAAAAGTGGTTCCCCACGTCGAAACCCCGGGGGTTGTACCCGGCGTACTCGTAGTCGATGAGGGACACAACCGGCCGGGGTGATTCCGTAGGACCGGAGAGTTTCGGCGGGATCTTAGCGGAAGCACTGCTCTTGTCGTTGTAGAGGATGTTTCCGCTCTGAGGAATGGCAGGGGAGCAGTACGCGGGGGGCTCGTGGTCAGGAGTGGGCCGGGAACGGACGACGCGCGCACCTAACAACAGCGCGCGCGGGCTGTCCCCTTCGTTCGATCCGGGGGGAGTCATCGCAGATGCAACTTTCAACGGGTCCTCACTCCAAGACGCCGAAAAAAAGCCAGCAAAGTTTTGCAAATAATAAACCTGCCGCCCAGAGCAAGTCACGATAGCTCCCCGCGGAACGCAGTCCTTAAACCTTACCGTAGTCTCTTTACCACACCCACGGCACGGTGTCATCGATAACAACCACCTGAAAAGAGCGAATGGGTAGGATACGTACATGATGTCCATGTGACAACCACCATAGACCGTATCCCCTCACTCCAAGCCCCGCCACAAAGCCCACCAAATGTCTAGGCAGGCGCGACTCCGGCTTCCCGTCGCCAAGTGTCCAGAATAGCCCGACGCGCGCAAGACTACCAAAGGTCGAAAGTTTACCACCCTTCCAAACACACCCGGAACAACGCAAACAAGTTGGAGAAACAAGCCACAAGGTGCTCGCCTGTAAGTCGTTGTGGCAGAAGACTACCTTGGACGGCACTCTGCTCTCCAATCGCTCTCGTAGCAAGGTCGCGAGTCCGCCGAGCTCTACGACGTCCACCCCGCCGTGGACGTCTCCGCAAAGCTGCAGAGCTTTCGCGTGGAAACTCTAGATAGAGACAATATGTTTGTAGAGTCGGCGATGTGCAATAATATCTTGTAAGTGGACAGGAGAGAAATCGGGGGGGTGGGGCGCATCTGCCGGCGCTTATGTGACAAGACACGGTATGACATCCCACGACCGACCCCAAAACTCGCGTCTTCGGTAGTGGGGATTGCCGGGTGAGCCAGAGCTAGGCTTAGGCTTGTGGTGGAATCTCACAGTCACAAACACAAGGGCGCAAACCAAAGGTGTTCTGCTCTAGCAACATGTGCAGGTAGGCGGATCGTGGCGCGAAAGATACAAGCCTACAGCCAATGGCCGATGTAGCTGCTGCTGCCCTATGCAGATATTACCATTGTCTTTCGGTTGTCGTCTTGGCCCAACGTTCGGCCTCCCTACCCAGCACCTCGACGTTCCGCGCTAATCGACCCCGCTTGACCAAGAGAGGCGACTGATGGAGTCACCGGGTTCCGATCCAGCACAACGAAGCAACCATGACAAAACACCTGGCCGAAAATCACACCTCTCACTCTTGCCGTACCTCAAGTGCTCCGAAGATGACAGGAGTCCGGCTCCCGACATCGATATCCAGAGCGTGGAGCTCGGACATTCGCCTGCGATTGGGCACGGGCAGGGGGATAACCATCAACAAATACTCAAGAAACATGTGCGTGCCGAACGCACAGGGCGGAGCAGGTGCTCGGGGGGGGGGGTACAATGAGACGGGAAGCACACTCCGAGAACCGTCCTGGACACCATCGCTGGGAACACAAGAACACTGGTAGGGAGCGGGGTCACCTTGAAGATTGTGCGGGGGAGTGGGCTGAACAAGCCTAGAGGGTCGACAGAACAGTCCGAAGAGTGTACAATACCTTGCGATAAGGGTGGAGATAGCAGGTTTTCGCATGTCCATCGCTCCCAGCGACTGCAGAAACGGAAACAAAGGGGCAAGCATGCGGGACATGAAAGCACACTGCTGTGAGCGTCGACATCGACACGCAAGCCACGGAAAGGAACAACAGCCGTGTGCCAGGACGTGGCCGACTTCGTAAGTTTGGACAACCCCCCCACCCGTGACACGACGTAAATATTTCGAAAGTGTGTGGCTTCCGCGACCTGACATTTTTGGTGCCGTATACGAAGAGTCCAGGATCAAACATATTGGTAGCTGATAGCCCAAGACGATTTCCACCCCATCGGGTGGATGAAACCCTACTAAAAGTTGCGGCACTACCCTGCACTGCACGGCACCGCACTGCGCATTGCGTACCTTTCTGTTGCCGAACATTTTGCTCCACCAGACACATGGTCATGAAGCTGCTGCACGACAGGTTGCAAAATGCGCTACATATCGACCCCTAGACTCTCCCTTCTGATACGGTTGCGTTGATTGCGAACAGCGTACCCTGCCCTCAAGGAACTGTTCCACGCGCCCGTCCCCGAGCGTTGCCAACAAGTCCGGCCCGAACCCCCGCTCTGCCAGAAGCTTGAACGCTCTCAGCTCCGCCTCTCTGCTGAAGAACATCTTGTGGTGTCCCAGCACGTAGCGAGAAGCACAGCAACGGCAACCGCGGGAGAGGACAAGCCGTTAGACACCAAAAACACATGAATGAGAGAAGGAACACGCCACAAAACCTTGCATGTCTTATGGATACACCCTCTTCGCACAATCGACCGAAACAAGACGTAAATTGTGTCCCCCACCCCGACCAGTGGCCCGGGCCAACCCCCCCCTACGCCACCAACCTCCGTCCCCTTGCCGTAGCTCCGAAGAAGCACGGTTTGGTTCTCGCCGCCCGGCTTGGAACACCGAAACACCGTGTTCGTCATGCCCCCCGTGAGCGCCCGCATGGAGAACCCGGAGGCCATCTCCTCTCGTCGCTCGTGGTCGTTCTCGGAATCTCTCCATCCCGGCGTCGTTGCCCGAAGCGCTCTTACAAATTTTCCGAAGTGGTTTGTGGGTGGGGGCGGTGGGGGCGCTGTTGGTTGGGGTTGATGTAGGTGCGTGCATTTGCGTACACGTATGCGTTCCGCGTGCGATTGGGGTAGTGAGGCGTCCGGGGATGAGGACCTGTGGGCCTTGTTCCCTGAGCTAAGGAGGGATGGTCGTATGCCGTACCTTGCCGGCGCGAGGATGTTGCTGCACAGACTAATTGCTGTTGGTGTGCGTATGCTACAAGCAGCAGCCTTCCCCGACGAAGATCGTGCCAAGAACAAGAAATGTCGACCGGAAGGACAACCGGCACTCTCTTCATGCAAAGTCGAGGCCCGAGGGTACTTGGTACTGGAGCTGTGCCGCTGCTGTCACGTGTCCTGTTTTGTACAGAGTTCCCTCCCGTAACCCTTGTCGAGCAAACCATTGCAGGCGGCGAAGCGCTCACCTCAAAGCTGCCAGCTTCACATGTTCCGAGAGCGAAGCCCCTGCCTCTGGCAAGCTCCCAAGATCCAGACGTACCAGGGGCATTGCCTCTCGAGCTGCGGCTGCGGTTGCCATGCTATATCCCTATTGGCGCCCCGGTGTTTATCCTGAAGCCCTTCCTCCTCGTGCACACAACTCTCTCTTTATCGCGCGCGCGTACAACGGACTCGTGCCTTAAAACCACGCTGTCCATATGCTGATTTTCAATAGGTAGCAGCAGACACCACGAGCAGAGCACGGCAGCGGGAGCTTGTTGTGGTACACGGTGGACGATGATGACCAAAGCTAACAGTCCCGTCGGCTAAGAAACATAAAAAAACAAAACGCAAAAAAAAAAAGGAACCACGGGCATCGTGGCAAGAAAATTCTGCCACCCACAGCTTTTGACATCATCACACCGAGCGTGACCTAACACGGAGGAAGACAGGCACCCCCACAAGGCACAATCATCGCTTCTCAAAGGATTTATTCTGCTGTGCACGTGCTCGTCTTGCTCGCTGCGCTGCTGTTCTACCGGACGTACTACAGCCCCACCAACAGCGAGAGCAGCAACACTATGTCGGTGAGGACCTTGATGAGTCCTGAGAGAGAGACAGAGAGAGCAGCTGCACACAGAGAGGGGGTGCATGTACCCGCCACTTGCTAAGGTTGAAACACAGCCGTTTTTGACTTCGGACTCGAATCCCACCCCCGTTTTCCCCGTGAAGACGCGACGGCGATGGCCCTATGGTTCGCACGGCACGCACCCGGTCCCCCGACGTCTTGTTCACGAGCAAAGCGATCATGGTCGAATGGACCGAGCAGAGCGAGCCGGCAACGTCTGTCACCCCCAACCCCTTCGCCCGCTTTGCCCCAACCTAACCTACTGCAGGTCGAAATGACTCCCGAGGCCGCGGCCAAGTTCAAGATGTTTGAGGTGAGCAGGAGGCTTGGCTCTCGCGCCTTCTTTTGTCAGCCGCAGCGGCTCGGCTTGGTATCGATTGCGTGGTGCAAGAATAATGCGCGTGTGTTCCGCGCCCACGTATGTATGCGGCCCGTATTGGCTCGAACAGCTGCCTCTATTTTGGACAGACATGACGGGATTTCCGCGGCTGCATGTGATGATGGATCAGGCGGGATAGCAACACGCCCGATGACGCCCTACAGTTGAGACCCGTGTGCCCCATGAGAGAAAACGGTGCAAAAGTGCTGGCGGTGATCGCCCAGGTGCGCGTGAACGTGAGAAAGTAGCGCCATACAAATACAAACCGCTACTACACACTGCAGCGCGTCACCGGGCGTCAGCCTACAAACATGAAAAACGCATCTCATATTCTTCCGATTGTCATGAGATCTCGCCGCTTGCTCCTCCCGCACACCGAACCTCTCGCCCGCGTTCTCGCCTCTCCCCTACCGTCGGTAGCATATCAAGCCTACCACTGCCGCGTACATGCGTAGCCATGCTCCGACTGGAGATGGTGTTGCGTGCTTGCGAAAAGTCTTGCGGACAAACTGCACGTTTTTCTCTCTTCTCTGATGTGCGCATGCCGCTCACGGCTGCGTGTCATCCGGCGCACGACTGCTGCCGCCGCTGCTCTTTTCATCATGTTGCGTCGAGACAGACCCTGAAGGTAGATGTTAGGCGCACGTCATATACATGCACAAGCGTCTCTTTCCAAGTTAGGCCGCACTGGACCCACGAGGGAACACGGTGGGTCGGGTGCTCTCGCCCCACCAGCAAAAAATGGCGGCGACATTTCCCACAAAATTGTGTTTTCATGTTCGTGTGTTTCGCTGTCGTGCAACGTCTCCCCGCTGACATGCACAACATCTTGCTGCTGACTGTTGTCGCCGTCTTCGTCAAATCGTTCCGCGCTACCGTTTGCTCACACGGCAGGACAAGATGAAGGCGGAAAACCTGAGCGCTGCGGCCATCCTGGCGTTCAAGAACTCTTACGCCGCGCTGGTGAGAGAGAACGTGTCAGCTTGCTTGTTGGCGACAGACGATCTATTTTAGATACATGTGGCACTTGATTACTGCTGACTGCTGACTAAATTAGTCTTTTCATTTCATGGGTCAGCCGGTTACCATTATCGCGGTCGATGATAGTTGAACACACACAGCAGGTAGTCCCCAACAGAAGCACACCAGCAGCAGTTGTTCATTGCATACAGCAGCAAAACCCGCCGTGTTCCGTGCAAACCTTCTATGGAAGCTGCTCTTGCGTCGTTAGTAGGTACAAATGTTTTTCTTGGCGAAGAAACTCACAGACAACCTCTTGCACCGTAAACAACGGATGGGTTGAGTTCGTGTTGTCTCGGGTGATATCCCGCCCTTTTGTTCTCTCACGGCCGTCGCTGTCGCACCTACGCATAATAAACTATCATGCGAGGTGGAGCAGGCATTGACAAAGTCGACACGAGGTTTTCAGCCGACCTTCGCACCTCGTCAACCTCGTACATAAGTTAAGTTGCTGCGTTTGTGCATTATTTTTTGTTTTTTGTGCACATGGTTTCGGCCGCTCATGTCGGGGTTGACGCGGGAACGCACGCAGTCCTCTGGATCGTCCGGCATGATCGAGGAAGCTACCATCGATCCCGCCACCGACGTACCGTACCTCGAGGGCGACATCAAGGGCAAGGTCACGTGAGTTCATCCCCCCCCCTTTTCCATAGCAAAAACACAACCATCGCATAGACGTTGTGATGTAAGTTCGCGTATGAATTAATTCATTCACAGCGTTAGCACGACAACCTGTGTTTCTACGATTTCCCGAGCAGCGTACGGCAGTAGTCATGTAGTTTTCCTTGCCCGGTTGACGGTGGCGTGCATAGGGTCAAGGGGGGGTGCCATCTCTCCGCCTTGTTACGGTATCCAGCGAAACGGTCAGCCGACAATTGGCCTCACCTTGGAAGGAAAGGGGGTGCGTCATTTTTCACTTAAGAGTTATTCATCACAAACGCGTGAATGGTGATGGTACAGTAGCTCTTGAGAGTAGCTCTTCACACAGCAAGGACGGTGCCGTGAACAATTTCACGCGACACGGTGGTAAAGCGATGACGTGCGACGACGCGTTCGTTCTCAATGCTGCTATGACACCACCTGCCTCCTCGAAACCACAGCCCGAAATCAAAAGCCTGTCGGCGCATAAGAACCCAGGCTCCTCCGCATGGCATACCTTTTCATGACACCGCTTCTTGCGTGCTGTCGTGCGTGGTGACGTGATCATGGCGAGGGAACGGCAGTTGCCTTACCCGCTCCGATCCCGAGGCTTGCCCGAAAGACGAATTAAACAGTAGACCGCAAAAAAAAATATTCCGAAACGCTCGAGATGTTGAACACCGAACCCCCGAACTACATAACAATGCAGCGGGGGCGAGGCTTACCTGCCGGAAACCGTGGTGCTGAAGCTCAACGGCGGCCTGGGTACCTCCATGGGACTCGACAAGGCCAAGTCGCTCCTCCCGGTGAAGGGGGACGACAGCTTCCTCGACCTCACCGCCAAGCAGGTGTGTGCGTGCGCTCGCTTGTCCGTCCGCGGCTGTCCCCCCCGCGCTTCCTCCTCGTGGTTGCTCCGTTTGTGCATTCCATCGGCTGCACGGCGTTGCTGCCGCTTGTGCTGCTGCTGCTGCTGCTGCTGTTGTGGCGTTGTGACTGCGCTGGCAGCAGTGTCGTTGCTATTGCGTTTCCCATCAACCACAGTGGCCTGGGTCTGCGGAGTGAAGAGGAGCTAGATATGTGTTGTGTTGTGATTCCGTCAGGTCTTGAAATGCGGGATGTCTGTGTTTTTTTTGTTTTGTTGGGTGTGCGTCTGCCGCAAGGAGCGCGGCTGAAGAAGCGCACCGATACGTTCCCACCCCCACCCCCAGGTGATCGAGATGCGCAAGACCTTCAAGAGCAACGTCCGGTTCATGCTCATGAACTCCTTCAGCACCTCCGAGGACACTCTGGAGTTCCTCAAGAAGTACCCGGAGCTTGCCAACGACCCCAACCTCGAGCTCGTGCAGGTGAGGGTTGTAGGCGTAAGCAGGCGGGAGAATGCCCACTATGTACATGTGTGTTGCGTTGCGAGCGATGATTCCTAGCTGGTCGCACGCGCATGTACACTACCGTTGCATGTATGTGTCGAATTGTATGAACGATACGTATCCAATCGAAATATCGTATCGTTTACGACATCGAGTGCATATGTTTCACTTTGATATGCTACACGTCATTTCGGTACACGTACACCCAGGAATTGGCTAAGCGGTACACATTTTTTTTTTTTTTTTTTTTGTTCACTTCAAATCAGCGCTCACAGCACTAGTGCCGTTTATTCCAACCCGTGGTCACACAGAAGAGCCTCTCTCTACCCTCCCCTCCTGCGGTACTTCGCCTTCAATTTTTAATGCGAGAAGAGTTCAGCACTCTCTTCCCTCTGTGTACACACGAACTAGCGCTATCCACTTGGCCAGGAGCGGAAGCGAGAGAAAAACTCACTTTGCAAGAAAAGCTCGTCTACGCCGGGATTCGAACCCCTGACCTGACCTCTAGAAGGTTACGAGGCTACCAATTAGACCACCGGGGCGACCATTGGCAACCAGCGGCATCGCCTCCGCGCGCCTCACGATTGATCTCTTCCTTGCGGTTGCGCACGACAGCTCCGGTATCTTCCTTGCAAACCGGCGCTGGGATAAAACCTTCGTCGAGTCTTGAAAAACAGAACAACGCACTTTTTTCATTCAAATGAAGCTGCTGTGCGCCCCGACCCTCAAGCCTTCTCCCTGTTGCCTCGGCCGTCTGCCCTGGCCTTTGCGTTTTGATTAAAACGAAACCGAAACGAACAGAACAAGGTCCCGAAGGTGGATGTCAACACGATGGAGCCTGCGGCGTGGTCCGCGAACCCGGCCAAGGAGTGGTGCCCCCCTGGGCACGGGGACCTCTACGCCGCGCTCTCCGGGTCGGGCAAGCTCGATGAGGTTAGCGACACTGCTGTTGTGGTTGCCGTTGTTGTTGTTGTTGTCGTCGTCAGTTGTTGCCAGATATTGTCGCTGCTACTCGGTTGCCGTTGCAGTTGTTGGGGAAAGTGGGAGGAAAAATGACAACAAGAATA